GGTCAACTCTAACTAGTTTATATACAAAAGACATAGACAAGAGATTACATAAAAAATCTCCACTTTTCAGCACAGCTGTCTCTGACAAGCAGGGTTTAACAAGCTCCCCGCCTCAAATGACCCAGATAATGTTTATGGGGCAGGGAGTGTCAAACTTCAACAACAAAAAAGATTGCTGATATATCTAATGAACCCCAATTTTCTCACTGTCGGCACAGATTCTCAGTTAACTCCTTAGCCGGGACAGCAGTGTCAGTGTCAGTGTCGGTGTCAGTGGACTCGTTGTCTCACTGATTCTGGCTCACTCGTGGCATATTCAGAGCCCAAGTCTTCGATAGTGTCACATTCCTCATCTCCTATATCCCCCATACTTTCAAACAACTTGCAAATGTAAGTCAAAAAGTGAAAGTTGTCGTCATGTTTCAGTCATGTCGATGTATAGGTTGTGCAAGAACATGCTTTCATTTGCAAGACTAGATCCATGTTTATCATTTGAAGTTAGTTGGCGGATGGCGGTATAACAGCGCAAATAATACGTTTATTTGGGCATGGAATGGAATCAAAATTGGTGAATTTTACTTTGGAATCATTACGATTAACACTGTCCTTAGGCAGCAAAATGTTAAATGAAATGAACACAACTACTCTCACAGCTACAATTACAACAACTGCTCTGACAACTTACCTGGCAAAATCATGAACAATGACTTGACCATCATTTCCTGGGGACATAAAATATTTCATACCATTTCAGAGAGTGAAAACACAAACGAAATAGGCTCAAATTTGTCTCAAAATAGGCTCAAACTTGTCTCAGTCTTCACAGGGAACAGATAAACAATAGCTACAGTGGTTATTCTCAGTCTTCACAGGGAACAGATAAACAATAACTACAGTGGTTATTCTCAGTCTTCCCAGGGAACAGATAAACAATAGCTACAGTGGTTATTCTCAGTCTTCACAGGGAACAGATAAACAATAACTACAGTGGTTATTCTCAGTCTTCACAGGGAACAGATAAACAATAACTACAGTGGTTATTCTCAGTCTTCACAGGGAACAGATAAACAATAACTACAGTGGTTATTCTCAGTCTTCACAGGTAACAGATAAACAATAGCTACAGTGGTTATTCTGACCCCAGAGGAGAATAACCCATGTCTCACTATTCTCACCCCCTCGTTTTACCGGAAAAGATCCTAGAGATACCAGATCATGTCTGACCCGGAGAATTTCATTCGGCTCTCTGGCTCTTTTTTGGCTCCAAACTCCAAATGTTCAAAGAGAAGGGAAAGAAGAGGCAATAAAAAAAGAAAAAGAAAGAATAAAGAAAAGACAAGAGCTTGGATTGTTTAATTATTAAACTAGTTTTTCACACGATTTAATGCCCTCGCACATATTTTGGTCTGAATAATTTACAACCCTTCTACCGTCGAGCAAGAGCATAATTTATTGTTTCCTGCTTGTGTCTTGTTACGTTTGTAAACGCTCTCTGTTGCTTGAACCATAATTAATCAAATGTTATTGTGTGCAGGCAGAGAGAGAGGGGCCTGCCCTCGTTAAGTGTGTATACAGCGAATGGTCCGGTCGGCGGCTGGTCCCATATGCTGTGATCAGTAGCATCGGTAGTGAGCCTTTTTTTTTTACTGGAGAGGGGAAAAATGTTTTTACATAATTATTATTTGTTCCCACCCACATGCTGTTATTCTCACCTGGGATGAGAATAAAGATGGCCAAAAATATAATTCATGTATACATTTGATTAGCAGTCTGTCACCCTGTGGATCTTTGTATCAGACAAATGTGAACATTTGTTTTCTCTTGCAAGACAAAATGTACTCATCTCCAATAAATATCCTGCAGTTGTTCTTCAGATGGACCTTCCGCTTCCCATACTTTGTTTCTTGGTAAAAATGATTATTATCTTCCAAAGGAGAAAGCTATCATGATGATGAACAGAAGTCAAGTCGAAGTTTTCTAGATGTGCAGAATACTGAGAGTTGCAAGGAGCTACTACCAACAGCATGCGTAAAGTGCCAATCAGCCACTTAATTTAGGGCACAACCTGAGACATGAAAACATGATGGATTATCTCCCCTTCACCTCCAGTAGCAATCTTCTTGTTGGTCAGGTCAAAGCAGCAGGAGTTGATGTTGCTGATGTGCTGCGTGTGAATCACGTCAGGAGCTTTGTCATCGTACATCACTCGCCCGATGTTCCACAGCAGCAGCCGGCGGTCATCTCCACCTTAGAACACACAACAAAGAAAACACTTCAGAGATTGTTCACACAGTAATGCTTTTTTTCCATAAGGGTTTTACGGCACTTGCAACACAATAAGGTCACATAAGTTTCGAAGATTAGAGGTGTTACAAGGTAGTAACAAACAAAAAAGGAGAGGTGATAAAGACGATAGAGATGTTTGATAGAAAAGAAGGAGCAAGCCACGCCAGAGCACCCGCTAACCACCCACCTCGTAATGTCTAACAAGAAATGACAAGTACAACATTACATTCACATTATGATGAAGTGGAAACAAGAAGTGACATAGCGACTTCAGGAACGCCTCGTCATGTGGACACAAGAAGTGACATAGCGACTTCAGGAACGCCTCGTCATGTGGACACAAGAAATGACATAGCGACTTCAGGAACGCCTCGTAATGTGGACACAAGAAATGACGTGTTTTGTCAGGCATTACATTCACATCCCTGACAGAATATCAAAACCAAAAGTCTTCGAGTACAAATCACTCTTGCAGCACCAAAAAACTGGCCACAATCTGTGACCTTTCTTCACACAAAAGTAAATTGTTTCCATCCATCTTACTAAACTACACATGGATTGCATTTTGGGGTTGTTGTTTTTTAATCGATGTTCAATAGAAGTTAGTTTTAAAGGTTTGATCATAATTATTATATAAACTTTTTCTCATTTGTATCGAGGTCAAAAGATTAGTTGAGAGTTCTTTTTCGTTCCTAGTCATTTTGGTGTTCTGTAACACACGCAATAGTGGTGCACCGTAACACACGCAATAGTGGTGCACCGTAACACACGCAATAGTGGTGCACCGTAACACACACATTAGTGGTGCACTGTAACACACGCAATAGTGGTGCACCGTAAAACACAATAGTGGTGCAAAACTTGATACGACTTGTGTTTGAAATCGAGCCACATGGTTAGATTCCTGTGAGCAGTCATGATTCCTTTCATTGAAGTGTAGTCTATAAAGTCTATTGTCTGAAGTACTTTCTTCTGTTTCATCACTCTATATAATGACTGTAAGAAAACTTGTTGGTGTTCTGCAGTGAGCTTGGTGTTCAGTAACTTAAACAATGTAAATAAAACGGTCATGGTACTCTCATTTCATTAACATTGGCCAAAATCTGAACTGCTGCTCAACAGAACATTCTATGTCCTTGTGTCTTGTTTCAACCACCAATTGTATATATTTTATGGATCTTTGTGTATTTCCTATACTGTCACATTTTTTGTGACAATGTTCACCATAACTTACACAATACCTGAAATTAAACCCCTTATACCATTTGAAGGGCTTTAAACTAAGTAGCATCATTTTTTTCCATAAAACTCTTCAACCTGAATAGCACTACAACTCTATGTCTTAGTTTCAAGTCATTTACGAGAACTTCAAATTTTGGTTGCTACGTCATAGAATCTGTAGCCCAACTGAAATTTTGACATACTTTCATCTATGCATTCCTTTGACCCTTATTGCAACAGTCCATCTAATCAGGCTCTGGGTCAGCAACACAGCATTGTATTACTTACTGCTACCAACAAGACGTGAATTGTTTTTTACAGACGTTTTTAATAAGCCTCCGTCCTTCATGGCTGCAAGCTGCTGTTGCACATTCTACCCAGTCCAGTCCATGTTTCAATGTTGTATCAGATCAACGTCACTCTTTGTCTACCCATGGCTCTCCTGTCCCACATCTTTCCTTCAAGCACCCCTTTCATAATGGTCTGGTGTTGTTTTAAATATGATCAAACTATTGTATTTTTCTACATTTTATTGTCAAGCAGGGTTTGTCTTGTGTGGATTGTTCGTCTTTTTTACTTCCCAGTTTACTCTGGATATTCTGCTGGAAAAAACTTCAAATGCAGCTATTCTTCTTAATTTGGTAAAATCTCATTACATTCTGAGAATACATTCTGGTCATTAGCCCAGTGTAGTGGGTAGGCCTAATTCTGTCATTATATATATATATAGTTTAAAGGCTATAACACAATTCCAGAGGTCATCACTAGGCCTACAGTATAACAGATAGCAGAGGTCATCACTAGGCCAACAGTACAGATAGCAGAGGTCATCACTAGGCCTACAGTATAACAGATAGCAGAGGTCATCACTAGGCCTACAGTATAACAGATAGCGGCACAGGAACACGGCAGACATCCGTCATATCGACCACTGTGACTGTTGCACATTGTGTGGTGCTTGCACAGCCAAGGACAACTGCATTGACAAATCACAAAGCAATATAAGAAGTCAAGAAATTAACACTTTGCGGTCACTTGCCGCAATAAAATAATCATGTGCCAGTGAAAATTTTCCGTGCTGGTCACTTGGTACAGTTCTGCACCAGGTCCGAGAAGTCCGTTGCAGCTACTCTCCTCCTGGCTGGGTGACCACACGGGCTATTTTGTACTGCTGGCTGTGTGACTACAAAGTGTTAAAGAGTAAAAGTTGTCTGCAACTGCAAGGCCAAGTACGCCACCAGCATCTTCTCCCGTCACCAAATCCAGATCTGCCAGACCAACATGAAGTGTAGCACAAGCGGAGAGCTAGAGAACGACGACTAAACGCCATTGGTCTATATTTATAGTAACAGCCATCTTGAGTGACCTCGCAAGGGGGATGCACGTCCTGTCATCTGATCGTGATTTAAAAAATAGTGATCATTTCGCGCAGCAGTTTGCACTGGCAGTTTCCAAGCGTCTGTTTGAGTTGTTCCCAGTGGTTCCCCCAAGTCTACTGCTTTTACACCTCACAGAATTCATTTACAAACCTTGCAGTCTCGAATTACCAGGGCTGTCCCGCGGAAAACTAGAAAAGTTCCATAAAAGCAACAATCTTCGTCCTATTAAAGATAAAAATGAAACACATCATACCTCAACATGTGCTTTATTTCTCAATGTAATCACCATGCCGCTGGACGCATTTTCCCATCGCTGGATCAGGGAGAAGATACACCCTCCTTGAAGAATTTTTCGTCAAGGGATTTCAACCAATCTTTCACGGCTTCCACGAGGTCTTCGTCGTCAGTGAATCGCTGTCCAGAAATATGACGTTTCATTGGTCCAATAAGGTGATAATCTGACGAGGCCAAGTCAGGACTGTGAGTGGAGTGTGGCAGAACTTCCCAGCCAAACCTTTGGATCCAGTCTTTCGTAGCGTTTGCAGTGTGGGGTGTTGCGTTATCATGCAGCAAAATGACCCCGCTGGAAAACCGACCTCGTCTTTTTCGGCGTACAACCTCCCTCAGCTTATCAAGAGTCTGGCAGTATCTGTTAGCATTGACAGTTTGTCCTGGTTCCAGAATGTCAAGAAGCAGAACACCCTTACCATCCCAGAAAACCGTCGCGATGAGTTTCTTCACCGATGGCTGAACTTGAAACTTTTTCAGGGGAGGTGAAGACGTGTGCTTCCAAACCATTGAACCCCTCTTTGTTTCAGAGGTTCTATGTGTGGTGTATCCGAGTCTCATTTATATATGTGGTGTATCCAAGTCTCATCCCCTGTCATAATGTAACAATGCTTCTCACGAATGCTTCATCGTATTGTTGGAGGTCTCTAGATGCGTTCATGACTCCCGTGACAGCTTGCCGACAACGATTCAACAAAGTCTGGGACACTTCAACACGTTGCGTCATGTGGTCAGCTGTCAGCTCTTTTAGGACCCATCGAGATGAGACCTTTCGATGTATGTATGTATAGTATAAGGTTTTACGGCGCTCGCAACTGCTAAGGTCATATGAGCGCGCGAAACACAAGTTGTTCACCTTTGCGAAAGTTCACTTCACGACTGGCTAACTAATTTACTTTAAAATGCTAAAAAGTTAAAATATTCAAATTCGGTGTAAATACATTTGTGATCTAAAACAACTTTTAAGTAACAATTAAAATTTTTAATAATATCAAATTCACTCTACAACTCGCCATAAAGGCCAATGGCCTTTATAAAATTTTAAATTCTGCTGGGAACAACGACGGAAAAAATATCCTGCAATTTCTTGCATTTATAATATTTCCTTCGGATCTCTCTAAAGTCTAGACATTCTGTTAAAATGTGTCTAATGGTAAAATCTGTGTCGCATCCGACACAGAACGGCTTCTCATCTCCCTGTAGGAGGTATTTGTGGGTCAGGGCCGTGTGTCCGATGCGCAATCGAGTAAAAATGACTTCATCTCTTCTGGAGAGATCCGAAGGATTTCGCTGTTCTAGTTTGGGTTTAATTTCATATAATTTATTATTTTTCTGGTTTTCCCAGTGGCTCTCCCACAGACTGGAGGTGTACTTTTTGACTTTATTTCTAAAGTCAGTCTGTGGGAGAGTGTTTGTCGTTGATCCCAGCAGAAGGGATGAAGCTTTCTTCGCCAGGTCGTCTACCTGCTCGTTTCCTCGGATGCCCACATGGCTGGGTATCCATGCGAACATGATGTTTTTTCCTGTTTCGGATAGTGTATGGATTTTCTGTTGTAGCCTAACTATTTTTGGGTGTAGGAGTGTGTAGTTTGTGAGTGAGGTGATGCAAGACAGAGAGTCAGAAAGGATAAGGAAAGATTTGTTAGGAGAATTTTCTACAGAGTCCAGTGCCATGTCAATGGCAGTGGCCTCCGCAGTGAAAATGGAGGCTTCAGGATGGAGTCTCCTCTGGTGTGTATTGTTGGGAGATAGGGCTGCGGCGCCCACTTCATTGTCTTTTTTGGAGCCATCCGTGAAGATGAGCTCCGCACCGGGGTATTTATCTATTAGTTTTTTGTATTCTGCTTGAAAAGTTTTGGTGTTTGTGTTTTCTTTGTTGTGTGTGGTCAGCTGTAAATCTACTTTTGCCTTGGTGAGGTGCCACGGAGGGAGGTCGGGAAAAAGAATTTGTTGGATGTCTTGTTTGGAAAAGTGTAAGTTTTTGAGGTCCTCAAGGATTCTGAGGCCGAGAGGTTTGATGAGTTTTTCGTTGTTTTGGAATTTGTTTCTGGTTTCTGGATTTGTTTGAAAAAT